ATCAATAACACTGATAAAACTCTATCAAGACTGACGAGGAAGAAAAGAGAAGACACAAATTACAAATACCAGAAAGAGGTCATGTCACTACAGGTTTCTAAGACATTAAAAAGGTAATAATAAACAACTTTAAATACAGAGATTCAACAACTTAGATGAAATGCACCAAGCTTCAAAAATCATAAACTACAAAAACTTAACACGAAATGTATAAGTTGAATACTCCTATACTGCTATTAAATAATTTGAATTTGTAGTGAAAAACTTCCTAAAACAGAAATCTCTGAGCCCAAGTAGTTTCACTGAAAAATTCTTCCAGATAGTCAAAGAAGAAATAATGTTAATTCAATGCAAGGTCCTTGTGATAATAGAAGAGGGAAGAGAAAGACTTTAAAAAATGCAGAGTAAGGGCCTAGGTGAATATGCTCTTTAAAACAATAAAAATATGGGCAAAACAATTCAAACCAACCATTTTAGAACTCTGACAATTATCCAAAGGCATAGAATGAAATAAAAATCGCTTATCCAAGACAAACTACTGAGGTCTGTGACATTTTAACTTTTGGCAAGTCCCATCCCTGCTTCTTCTTCAACTCAGTATTGTGATGGCCAAAAGCCTGCAGCACTGCAGACAAGAGATTAGACCTCTTTTTGAGTTCCCTTAAAAGTACCATCCTGGGGCACCTGGGTGGCTCAGGGGGTTAAAGCCTCTGCCTTCAGCTCAGGTCATGATCCCAGGCTCCTGGGATCAAGCCCCGTATTGGGCTCTCGGCTTAGCAGGGAGCCTGCTTCCTCATCTCTCTCTCTGCCTGCCTCTCTGCCTACTTGTGATCTCTGTCTGTCAAATAAATAAAATGAAATCTTAAAAAAAAAAAAGTACCATCCCAAGGGGGGCCTGGTGGCTCAGTCGGTTAAGCGTCTGCCCTGTCTGCTTTGGCTCAGGTCAGTATCCCTAGGGATGAGTTCTGCATCAGGCCCCCTGCTCAGCAGGGCATCTGCTTCTCCCTCTCACTCTTCGTGAGCACTCTCTCTCTCTCAAATACATAAAATCTTTAAAAAAGCACCATCCCCTGAGTCAATATTGTGTCTAAACTTAAAACCTTAAAAAAAAAATGCCTCCATTCTTAGAGTGTCGTGGGTATTTGGTTTCACTTGGATCTCAGGTCATCCCAGGCAGGCTGGGTATAGGGAGTGGGGGAGGGTAGGGAACTACCTCTAGGGCATTACTGAAACAATAGGAAAGTGCTGCCAAGAACTTGGATGCATAAAGCTGTGATTTAGTTGGGGCACACAAGAGCCTGGCCTAGAATTAAAAAGGAATTCTAGGACAATTAGATGACCAGAGGAAACTTTCAAAATCTTTGACATATTCCTGGGAATATAAATGTCTGGCATACCAGGAAAGACCTGAGAAAGGAGAAAGTACCAATCATTCCATTCTGGCTGAAGTTCAGTTCCTGAGAAAGCAGGAAATAAATTCAAAGGTTGTCTTATAAAGTGAAGCTTGAAAGTGTGCCTTCCCTCAGAGATCCCCTTGGCAAAAACACCCAGATGAAGCACTTAATTAAATCTTCTGAAAAATCATTGGCTCACCACTAAATATACTGGCCCTGGTGTGAATATCAGCATGCCAGACTTAAAAATAAAAACATAACATTTTTAGAGTTGCAAAGAACTCAATAGTCATACACTGCAGGGAATACAGAGTTATTCTGGAAAATCAGTAAACAAACAGCAGTAAGAAAATACCATAATAACGATAAACAAACAAAATACAACAACAGACCTTGGTGGGGAAGAAGGTGGGAGAATCTGATATCAGAGCTGTTACAATGTATTATTTATAAAGTCCAATTTTTATCACAAAATAAGATACATGCAAAAAATAGAAAAGAATTCTGCCTATACAGAAAAAAGTAAACAAAAACATCCTGAAAGGGGCCTAAATTTTAGTATTAGTAGACAAAACCTGTATTCAAATTTAAGGAAACTATGCCTAAAATTTTTAAGGATTTAAAAAAAAAATTCTGGAGTTTAAAAGTACAGTAACTGAAATAAAAAATTCACTACCGTGGATCAACAACAGATACTGATGAAAGATAGCTGGAAGGCAGGCAGGTAGGGACAAGGGGCCCTCTGCCCTAAGAGGAAACCACCCTTAAAATGATTTTACACCACCCTGGAAGGAGCCTGCCACCCTCTCCCATGTGACAAAAACCTGATTGGATGACAGATGCAGGGAGGATTAATCAGCTTAAAACAGCCACCAACTAGCCCATAAAAAACCCTTGATTGAGAAACTCTGGTGGCAACCCTCTCAGGTCCCCTCCCTCCTCAGGAGCTCTGTACTATCACTTTGCTTTAACTCAACACTCCTTGCTTTGCTGTCCACCACTCTGTCTGCTCTACCTCTTCATTCCTCAAAGTGGTGTGACCAAGAACCGTGTTCACCTACAGAGAGAAAGTCCTTTAACAACCTGACTGGAGGAGAGCCCAACAATAGGACAGGTGATGGCCTCTGGCCCATCTCTTGGCAGGAAAAAGATGAGCAGGGTCAGTCAATTTTCTGTCTCTGCAATCCCACAAAAGTCAGTTAAGCAGGGATTAGAAAGTGAAAGAATGCTTTGGATCATAACAAATCAAAGCCATCTGCAAGTCAAAGTTCTAGGGAAACAGAAACTACATAAAAAGAGCAAGTCACTTAAGAACAAAACAGATAGCTCCCTTGGTTAAGTGTCTGCCTTCAGCTCAGGTCATAATCCCAGGGTCGAGGATCAGGTCCTGTAACGGGCTCTCTGATAGGCAGGGAGTCTGCTTCTCCCTCTACTGCTTGTTCTCTCTCTTTCTCTGTCTCTCTCTCATGCTCTCTCACACTGACTCTTTCTCTCTCAAATAAATAACTGAATCTTTTTTAAAGTATAGCAATTAATGGCAGAGTATTAGATTGAAAGTCCACATGCTTCTGCTGTTAAATTCCGAAAGTTGCCCTCAATCTAAGTTTACCCTTCAGTTCTATCTTTAGGAGGATCACAGAGTAGAGTTCCCATTCTTGAGATCGGTATTACTTTTCTATTGTTGCTATAACTGAGTACCATAGATTAGTGGCTAACATCCATACCAATGCAACACAAATTTATTATTGTATTGTAGGTGAGAAGTCCAACATGGGTCTCACCAGACTACAATCAAGGTGTTGGCAGGGCTTCATTCCTTCTGGAGTCTCTAGAGAAGATCTGCTCCCCAGCCTTTTCCAGCTTCTACAGTCAGCCTGAATTCCTTGGTTTGTGCCCTCTTCCTCCATCTTCAAAGCCAGCAATGTTGCATCCATTTGATACTGCTCCCCACTTCACATCTTTTCTCTGACCCTCTCTTCTGCTTCCCTTTTCCACTTTAAAGGACCCTTGTGATTACATTGGGCCCACCTGGATAATCCAGGATAATCTTCCTATTTTAAAATCAGTTAATTAGCAACCTTAATTCCATCTACAACCCCCATTCCCCTTTGCCATATAACCAAACATAGTCTCAGGTTCCAAAAATTTGCACAAAGACATGTTTGGGGGCCATTATTCTGTCTACCACAAATTCTGTTGAAATCTTACGTATATCCTTATAGTTCACCATCAGCCCTCACTTAAATATGCACATGTAACCAGGAAGTCTGGCCCAATTAACAACTTCTTTATTAAGAAGAGACTTATCCTCTTTTCTCAAATCAAAGTACATTTTTCTAACAGTCTCATAAATAAGAAACAATTATCTCTTACAACACATAGAACATGACAGTATTTTTAAGATTATCTTTGTTAGCTACAAACTCCTCAACAAACTCTAGCTCCCAATGATTGCTAACGTTTTAAAAACTATTTGCATAATGTACTGCTAACAGTAATATACAAATATATTCAGAATTAATTAAAAATTATTTGAACACAGGGGCACCTGGGTGGCTCAGTGGGTTGAGCTGCTGCCTTCGGCTCAGGTCATGATCTCAGGGTCCTGGGATAGAGTCCCACATTGGGCTCTCTGCTCAGCAGGGAGCCTGCTTCCCTTCCTCTCTCTCTGCCTGCCTCTCTGCTTACTTATGATCTCTCTCTGTCAAATAAATAAAATCTTTAAAAAAAATTATTTGAACACAGACTTAGTTATTTGGCTGCATTTTTTAATATTTGCTAAAGGAAAAAAATCTCTCTTCCATGGAACTGGCTATGAAAGTAGAAAATATCCCAGCTCTGAGTTACAGATGTTAGAGATGGGATAATGAACATTAAAAAGACAGAAGAATTAAATAATTAGCTTAATGACTGAGATGCAGCCAATTTACACTATGCTTTGAAACCTGTAGTATGTATTAATAATTGTCAGTGGCAACAATAACAATGTATTTCTGTACTTTTAAAATTTCCTAAAAATATTTTTGGAATCAGGAAATAACTATTAAAAATTAAAAACCTGAAATATCAAAAAAAAAAAAAACAACCCAAAACCCAACCCTATTTGCAGGATTGAAGTTGGGCTTCCAGGTGTTTGTTTTCCAAATGAAAACATAGAACACACTCATCTGCTCTACAAAATCTATCATCTAGCCTCACCATAATTTCACAAAAGAATTTCTACCAAAGGGCGCCTGGGTGGCTCAGTGGGTTAAAGCCTCTGCCTTCGGCTCAGGTCATGATCTCAGTGTCCTGGGATCGAGCCCCACATCGGGCTCTCTGCTCAGCAGGGAGCCTGCTTCCTCCTCTCTCTCTGCCTGCCACTCTGCCTACTTGTAATCTCTGTCTGTCAAATAAATAAATAAAATCTTTAAAAAAAATTAAAAAAAAAAGAATTTCTACCAAAAAAGGTAGAAAAGAATCTTAGGATAATGTGTACTTCTTTAAAGCATCTTGGTGTAATAAGAAATAAATTATAAAAAGTAAGAAATAATTATATCATCATTATATTTCTTTCTTTGCTGATATTTGACCAGATTTTCAAAATCACTTTTAAGACTGATTTACCTGTAGCAGCTGTGCCACTATCCACATGTGTCAAGGACTGTGGGCGGCTACGAAGTTTGCTTTTGAAAGATCTTGGTCTCCGCGGTGATGAAGGTGGCCCAGGAACCTCTGATGATTGGATTTTGCTATCTTTAAATGCCCGAAGGCGTTCATAGAGCTCCTGCAGCTCCTTATTCTGCTGGGTTTGAAGATTTACCACCTCCTGAATGTGTCTAAATGAAAATAATGCAGAAAGCATTTTAATAGCACTGGCACCATACAGATGACTCCAGAAACATCTACATCAATACAAGGCAAGTTTAACAAGGAATTTTGATTAACAATGTGAAAATACAGAATATTCACAATTTTAGGATGAGATATGCCTTCCTAAGCTCAACATTAAACTAATGAGACATTAAGAAAAAAGTGAACAAAGTGACAAGAACAAATTTCTAAAACTTCAATATAGGGCGCCTAATGGCTCAGTCCGTTAAGCATCTGCCTTCAGCTCAGGTCATGATCCCAAGGTCCTGGGATGGAGCTCTGCATCTGGCTCCCTGCTCAGCAGGAAGCCTGCTTCTCCCTCTGCCTCTGCCTCTCTCTCTCTGTCTGTCATGAATAAATAAATTAAAAAAAATCTTTAAAACTTCAATATAGTGAAAGACAATGAAATACAATTTAAAGTCACAGAGTATTGCTAATATTAACCTTTTCTTTATTATATGTTGCAAGTATAAATAACAAAATGTTTGCAACATATACTAAAAGGTTAATATACAGAATATACAAATAATTCCTTAAAAAATCAATATGAAAAGGACTCCTGGGTGGCTCAATCAGTTAAGCGGCTGCCTTCAGCTCAAGTCCTGTTCCCAGGGTCCTGGGATCAAGCCCGCATGGGGCTCTCTGCTCAGTGGAGAATCTGCTTCTCCCTCTCCCTTTGCCCGCCACCCCCAGTCATGCTTGTTTGCTCTCTCTCTCTCAAATAAATACATAAAATCTGTTTAAAAAATCACTAAGAAAAAAAGAAACAACCTTATAGGAAAAAGAGGAAAGAATATGAGAAGGTGACTCCAAAAAGGGAGATACAAGCAGGCAATAAATATGAGATATGAACAACCTCACTATTAATTAGGAGAATACAATTATTTAAGAAATATTTTTAATTCATCTGATTGGAATAAAACTAAAAGGATCAATAATATCCAGTTCAATGTTGTTAAGAAGTGAGAAAACAGGCACTTTCATTCATATATATATATATATATATATATATATTTATTTCTTTTTTAAAGTAATCTCTATGCCCAACGTAGGGCTGGAACTCATGATCCCACGATCAAGAATCACATGCTCTACTGGCTGAGCCAGCCAAGCATCCCACTTTCACATATATTTGTTTGGTGAATAAAATATAGCTACCTGAACAACAATTTTAGTGGTATCTATCAATTTAAAGTATACATAACTTTTAACCCAGAAATTCTACTTTTAGGTATCTATCCAACAAAAATACTCACATAAGTATGTGAAAATATAAGGCTGTTTACTTCAACATTGTTTACATAAGCAAAATATGAAATAAAGTTGAAATGTCCATTAATGAGGTATTAAATAAACTTTAAGTGGCTATTCTAATATATGGAATAAAGATTATCTATACAAACATGTACATATATAAGCAACAATTAAGTAAAAAAATTGTAGAATAACATGTATATTATGACCTCACTTTCATAAAAGGCAAAAAGTATATATTTATAAATGCACAGAAAAATGATAGGCAAGATATATACCAAACAGTTCACAGTGGTTGCCTCTGAGAAATAAGATTAGGGCATGAGAAGTAAGAGATTATTTTGTGTGCTTTTTTACTGTTGTGATACTATGATTTATATTAAAATATATATATATATATTTGGTCTTTATCCCTGTTCCTGGAATATAGCTCCTAAAACCCTAGTAATTTCTTAAGCTATAAAGAGCAATAGGAGAATCTTTTATTTTTTTAAGATTTTTACTTATTTATTTCAGAGAGAGAGCATGAGCAGGGAGAGCAGCAGAGGGAGAGGGAGAATCAGACTTCCCGCTGAGCAAGGAGCCCAATGCAGGGCCTGATCCCAGGACTCTGGGATCATGACTTGAGCCAAAGGCAGATGGTTAACCGACTGAGCCACTCAGGTACCCAGAGAATCTTTTCCTTTAATATTTGGTCTATTGTCCTCAAATAGCTCCAGTTCCTGAAGTAGTTCAGGAGCGATAAAGGTGAAAGGAATCTTATTATTTAAAACAAGGCCCTTGGAATCACACCTGAGTTTATATTAATGAACTGACTTTCGAGAAACAGCCCCTAAGGATGGGGGCGGATGGCCAGGAGAACCAACCAAGTGATAAGAGGGTGGGACTTTCAGCCCCTCCCACTTTACCTCTGAGACAAAAGTAAGAGATTGAATTAATCGTCAGTGGCCAATGGTTTAAATCGATCATGCCTACCATAATGAAGTTTCCATAAAAATCCCTTAGCTGTAGGGCTGAGAGAGGGTCCAGGTTGGTAAAAACATGAAGGTGCTGGGACAGTGGCACTCCCAAGAAGGCATGGAAGCTCCATGTCCCTTTCCCTATACCTTGCCATCTGGCTGTTCCTCAGTTGTGTCCTTTTATAAGAAACTGATAACCTGGGGTGCCTGGGTGGCTCAGTGGGTTAAAGCCTCTGCCTTCCGCTCAGGTCATGGTCTCAGTGTCCTGGGATTGAGCCCCACATCAGGCTCTCTGCTCAGCGGGGAGCCTGCTTCCCTCTTTCTCTCTCTGCCTCTCTGCCTACTTGTGATCTCTCTCTCTATCAAATAAATAAATAAAATCTTTAAAAAAAAAAGAAACGATAACCTAGTAAGTAAACTGTTCTTCCTGACTCTGTAAGCTGCTCTAGTAAATTAATTGAACCCAAAGAAGGGCTTGTGGGAACCTTTGATTTACAACAGATTGGTCAGAAGCATAGGTTAATACTACTTGGACTTATGATTGGCATCTGTGGGACTGAACCCTTAACCTGTGAGATCTGATGCTATCTTTGTCAATAATCAAAAATTTTCAATCATTAAAATGTTACCAATCATGGGGCACCTGGGTGATTCAGTCAGTTAAGCATCTGACTCTTGGTTTTGTCCCAGGTCGTGATCTCAGGGTCAGGAGATGGAGCCCCATGTTGGGCTCCATGCTCAGCATGGAGTCTGCTGGAGATTCTCTCTCTGCCCCTTCCCTGTGCACACATGTGCTCTATCTCTCTCTCAAATAAATAAATAAATAAATAAATAAATAAGTCTTTTATTTTTAAAAATACTACCAACTGTAAATTAGCTATCAGTCAAATACTTAGTTCTATAAAACTCCAGGCAACCAGATTTGTGACAAAAGGGAAACAATCTTACTTTTCTCGTAATCTCTGAAGCTCCACCTTCAAATCCTCATCCTCTATTTCTGACTCATCATCACTGCTCATTGGAGAAGATGGTGAATAGAAGAGTGAGCTCTGTGTTTGGTTATAGGCTTTTTCTTCACGGAGGGGTAAGCACTGATCACTCTCTGGACCAGTCTTTGCCACTGACTTCCCTCTGCCAGCAAGAGTGGCTGAAAATTCACTATCAGAGCTAGGCTGTTTACCAGCAGTAAGTATCTCTCTCTCCTTAAGCAACAGTTCAAGTCCAGAATGGATACTACTTCCCATGGCTGAGTTCTCTTCCAATTCTTTTTCTGGGGTCATTGAAGATACATCAGTCTCACAAGCTGTGCTGAAAGATGAGAAGTTGTCTCCTTGTTTGGGAATTCTTTTCCCTTCTTTGAAGGTCTCATGAAGAGCTTGTAACTTCTGAGAAGAAAGTGAAGTTTGTGGATTGTGCATGGCATGTTCCATTTCCACTAATTGAGGCTTTGCTCTGTCTGTAAAGACTAGAGCTTCTTCACTAGAATGGGTTGTCATTTTTTTGAATGCTGGTGTGTGTTCTATTCCAAAAGATGTTACTTTCACTGACTGCTGCTGAGGAACTGTAATCACCTGAGATACAAAAAGGCAAAAGTGGTTGGCTCTATCTAATCAAAGAGTAAACCCACAAAGAAATTCAATATCAAAATATGGCACAGACAAGTGAATGGTCTGCTGTGACGTACACACATCCATAACACCGAAACTTAAAAACCCCATTTATAATTCTCATTTTCAAAGTCTTTCAATTAGGTCCCCTGGGTAAAGAGAGTTGGCTTCAAATTGCTCAAACAAAATTCTGTAATTAAAAAAAAATTCGATAATTCAAGTTACTGAGATTCTAAAGGACAAGAAATAGATTTATAAAAAAAGGTGACCCAACCACCCACTGAAAAATGATGACTCATTTCTGTGCTCTTTTCCACTACTAAAATCCCCATTTCTTTAGACTTAACTCAAAGTCTACAAAAGGTAAGGGATGTGTGTAAGGGGAAAAAATTAAATATGACAATAATCTACATTCAAAATAAGTATTATTTAAATACCAAGATCTCCAATGCTATTCTCTTTTACAATGCCCTTATAGATAAAGATTCAGCCAAACACACAAACCTGGAACCGACCCCGCTGAAATGATCCACTCATTGCTTTACATCTACTCAAAGCCCTAGTATCAGCCATGGACTCTCCCGTCAGGGGAATGGGATCAGGAGCAACTGCTGATCTCATATCTTCTGTTTCCACTGCAAGTTTTGCACAATTGTAAGCAGAAAAGAGAAAGTGTTTGTTAAGACTAAATTTGTTTACATTACCAAAAAAATGAAGAAAAGTAGAAAAAGCTTAACCCCTGCTAAATAATTAAAAAGTGTTAATGTAATAAGCAACACTGCAGAAGTCCCTAACTCAAAATCAGACATTGTAAGATTTATCCCGAGACTTAGTATCTACATGAAATGAATAACTGTAAAACCAAATTAGTTACAAAAGGAAAAGTAAAGTGGCAATGACATTAATGGGACATGTCACAGACATGGGCTATGTGAAAAAAGTGGTAAGGTTTATATATGAACAAACAAACAAACAAACAAAAAAGAAAAACAGAAGTAAATGAAAAGTGATGTTACCTAGTCTATGTCCCTGACTGTAAGCACACTACCTTGACGGACTTTTGATCTCTTGAAAAAGCTGGTTGACTGCCGTAGCCTGTATGCCCAGCTTTTTAATTTGCGAGTCCAGGATTTCTTGCTAATAGGATTTTTGAGACTAGGACAAGTAAAGCTTAGGCCAAAATATCCACCTCCTGTCTGCAGATGAATGGCTCCACCGCTTGACACAGCAGCAGGATAGGCCTCTGGATCCCCTGGCAGTGAAGCATCTGGGGACATCGCCTAATGGAGACAAAAAGAGAAAAACCAAAATGGTAATAATTTAGGTAAGGTGAAGCAGTTGTTTATATCATTGGACTTTCTTGCATGGACTAATCAGTAATCAAAAATGGAATGCTATGTATACCTGCATATCAGAGTGAATCTGAAGTATTCAACTTAGCGGAATTAATCCTTCCCCTTTCTTTAAAAATATTATTTGGACTTCAGACAAATAAAGAGCAGAATATTAACCTTCTACCCTAGAATATTTTTCATTACAGCAACTTTGAAAACTGAAATTAAAGTTATTTCCTTCATATGCTTCATTTACTAAAAAAAGGTTACTGAAACCCTGTGCTCTTAAAATGAAACTTTCATTTATGCTCATATTATTTGAGAGTTAAAGATGCCTAACACACATGATAACATAGAAAAAAGCTTTTCTAGGCATTTAGATTTATAGAGAAATACTACCAAATCAAATTTCTTACTTTATGTCAGCACGCAGAAACTTATAATGGACCTTGAAATTATTTCAAATTCTTGCTATAAAAATTGTTAACATCAGGCCACAGCTCACTATAAAATCACTCTCCTCTTCTTGCCTCCCATCCCTCCCAACAAAATGTCAGAATTAACTGTTGTATTCTAAATGAGTACTTTAAAAATAAATCCTCTATAACAGTTAATACAAAAGTATACAACTTTGGGAACATGAGACTCGTCTCTACTAATCTAGAAAATTAAATGAGTATTAAAAAGTTCAAAGAATGGGATTCAGCATTTGTCTTCAGGAAGATAGCATAAGTGGCATTAAGTACACTGGAGTCTTGAATAAGCATTAACACTCAGGGCAGGTCAGCAGTTATTAAAATTCTGAACAATCAGTTCTTATTTTCTGAAGTCCTATTTTGGAAAAAAAAATCTCATTCTGAACTAGTAATAATGCTACTTTCATGAAGAGAAAAAATTCTCAATAATATTAAATTTAGAAAATGTTGCATTGGTCCCACTGAAATTACAGAAAATTTTTTAATAAGTAATAACTGGATCAAGATGGTGAGTTAAGCACAAGTTCTAGTCTACCTTATCAGTCCAAATCCATAGACATGACAGAAAAAAACAGGCATAGACACATGCATATATGACTAAAGGAGGAAAAAGAAGCCCATGACACAGGCAGTAACTATTTCAAAATGCTGCAAACTTAGGTGGCGGATATAGGCAGTGAGAGCGAGCCCTGGCCAACCAAAGGGAAGAGTGGTTGGCTAGAATGCTTACAAAGCTGTCCCCAATCAGTCTCCTATCTACCTCAACATCATCTCATAACACTCTCCTACTTCCTGGACTTCTTTTGGTTCCTTGAACAGGTCTCCACCTATGACTGTTACCACCATACACAAGTTCTTCCCTGACTACCCTATATAAAGTAAACCCCTACTCATTCTATCATAGCCTTTTTCTTCCTTTATTTGTTTAGGATCTATCTTCTCCCACTAGAATTTGGGTTTCACAAAGAGAGATCTTGACTTACTCACTGAATGGGAGAGTAAACTGGTTGGGGTACCAAAGAAAGAATAGCCAGGCAGTTCTTCTTTCCTTCCCTACCTCCACAGCAAGCAAAAGACAGCAGAGGCATCTGCTCCCAAATAAGAGTGGTGAGAGGAAAATGTCTGTGGCCCAATCAGCAACGTAGGAAGGAGACAACATCCAGAAGGAAGGGAAAGCCCTTCCACCTTTGAAGAAGATTAAGCTACCTTCTAGGCAGCATTTCGAGAAAAGCAGTAATGTTCAGAGCCAAGAAGCATGTCCAATGCCTTTCCCACAATTACTGGAGGAAGGCTACAACAATTATATATAGCATTTAGAGAGACAAACAAGAAATCGTACAGGGGAAAAAGAAAAAAACGAGTCTAAGAATCACCAAACTCTTATGGGAAATCAACACTATAGGAAAACATTAGGGGCACCTGATTGGCTCAGTCAGTAGAGTATGTGACCCTTGATCTCAGGGTCATGAGTTGAGGCCCCACATTGGGTGTGGAGCCTACATAAAAAGTAAATAAATAAAAACTTTAAAAAAGAAAGAAAACACTAAATTCAATAAGAAGAATAGCCAAGTTTTGAAATAGCATCAGTAACACAGAATAAGACTTTAATATCTCCAGAAATATGTGTGAAGATAATATAAGCATAAGAAAAATTATGAACTACAGTTACTGGAAATTAAAAATATAATCCTCAGGGTGTCTGGGTGGTTCAGTGGGTTAAGCATCCAACTCTTGATTTCAGCTCAGATCATGATCTCAGGGTTGTGAAATTGAGCCCCATGTTGGGCTCTGTGCTGGGTGTGGAGCCTGCTTAAGATTCTCTCCCTTTCCCTCTGCCCTTCTCTCTTCCCCTCTCTAAAAAAAATGAAAAAAAAAATTAAAATAAAAAAATAATAACAGAATCCTTGACATAAAGAAACAGTTGAATAGGAGACTGGAAATAGCTTAAAAACTGAGAAATTCTTCCAGTACAAAAAGCAAAAGGACAAAGAGATAGAAAACAGACAGTGAAAAGTTAATAGATAAGAAAAGCAGCAAAAGAAGAAATAAACTATCTCTATTTACAGACAATATGATCTTATATATTATACAGAAAATACTAAATGATACACAAACTCAGTGAATTTGAAGGATACAACATCAACACAAAAAATTAGTTGTATTTCTATATATTAGCAATGAAAAATCTGAAAAGGTAATTAAGAAAACAATTCCATTTATAATAAACAGAATAACAATGGTCCTGGAACAATTGGATAGTCAGATGCAAAAGAATGAAGGTGAATCTTTATTTCACACCATATACAAAAATTAACTCAAAATGACCCTACCATGTACACTTAATCAAGTGTGAAGCAATAAAGGCATTTTTGGACTTAAAAAAATACCCAAATTAGTCACCCATGCAACAAATTTAAAAATATTACTCATTGAAGCATTTTGGGGTAGGAGAGGAAGGAATTCTAGGACACCAGAAATAGTGGCAAGTAAGTTTGATCCAGAAGTAGCAATGGACACTTAGACAAAAGAATCCATTTGACCTTGACACGTGAGTGTCCTCTGAGCAACAAAATTTAAATGACAGAAAATTATTTTTCATTTTTAATGGTTCTAATCATTTTACATGATCATCGGATAACAATATAATCATAATATAAATGCTGTTTACTGACCTTCAATTCTTCAAATCAACCCACAGACAAAGCACAACCAATGTTACAGAAAAAAAAATGTAGATGTTATAAACTTTGCCAGTGTTAAAAAGCAATACAAGTAATAAAAATTAGGAGGTATATGGGAAAGAAGAAGAAAGGGAAAATATAATAATTTCCTCACCCTTCATAGTAGTGAATTATTAGGTATTATCTAAAAGTATTCAATCAAAAGATAGATGAATAAGTATATTATTTACAAGTTATTAATGGCAATGACTTCAAGAATTAAAACCAGGAACTGAACAGTGTTTGGGGAGTAGAATGGGGTATAAGAAGTTGTTAACATAATTACTATTAATTTTCTATCCTTCTGAATTGCTTTCCTGTTTATATATTAACTACATAATTTAAAATTACTAGTTTACAACAATATAAATCTTTATGTTGTATCTATTCACTGGAATAATACGCCATTGTTTAAAAAACATAAGTGAGGTAGAACTATTCGTACCAACATGGATAAATGTTCATAATTGAAAAAATGCAGAATAGCACATGCATGTAGAGAAGTATATGTATAAAAACATATGTATCTATGTCTTTGTAAATATGTAATAAAGAGGTATGACTGGGGCGCCTGGGTGGCTCAATCAGTTAAGCATCTGACTTCTGCTCAGGTCATGATCTTGGGCAGGGATTGAGCCCCAGGTTGGGCTCCCTCCCCCAGCTCGTGCTCTCTTTCTCTCTCAAATAAATAAATAATATCCTTTAAAAAAAGAAGTATGATTATACAAATATCTGTATGTCAGTTAAAACTATGTCTACAAAGATTCATTAACAGCTGTGCCTATAGGTTTGGAAGTGGGATGGATTTTACTTTACATACACACATATGATACTTATATAATAATAATAAAGAGATACAGTGGTGAAGATTTAGAAATATATCTATGATATACTATAAAATGAAAAGATAAATTTGCAGACCAATATGCATATAGCACAATCCCATTTTTGTAAATAAAAAGTTATAGGGATGTAAAAAGATCCATGTAAGCTTAAGAAGGTTAAGTACCAAATACTGGATAAACACCAAATAGTCATTACCCCTGTGATTTGAAGGAATAGAAAAGGGAAATTAAGTTCCTATGTACATAACTTAAAAAAAATACCGTATGATTTCACTCACGTGGAATTTACGAAACAAAACAATGAACTCAGGGTAGGGGAAGAGGAAAACCAAGAACTAGAGAGGGGAGGTGGGTGGAGGGATGGGCTGAATAGGAGATCAGGATTAAGGAGGGCACTTGTGATAAGTGCAGGGTATTGGATCACAGCAGGAAGTGCTGAATCACTATATTGTACACCTGCACTAATATTATACTAGAGGTGAACTGGAATTTAAATTAAAAAAAATAATTTTTTTTCAAATAAAACCCACCAAACAAGATTAAACTAGAAGTATAAACTTTTAAGAAAGGAAATTGGGACCAGGCACTTTTAAGTGGAAATCTAAAAGTCAGTTCTTCCTACCTACTAAAACAATCTATGAATCAGTCCTGTTGTCACTAATACAAAAAAAGACATCCTTGCAGGTTCCTAGCTAATTCACCAGAGGGCTCTCTCACCAAAGATACTTCTGTCATCTCCAGAAGTTCTGGGCACCTGCAGCCAAAGTCATGACCTTCTTAAATAACCTGTGACCTCAGAATCTTAAGACATAGACAATTTCATTTCAAAGGATATAACTTTAGAAAAGAAGGAATTTCTTTAAAAGAATAAGGGTAAGAAATTGATTAGAAAGAATAATACTTACATGTAAACATAATTCGCTGGGTATAGAAGTTATCACATTCAGGTCCCTTTTGAATACTGATATGTTAGCAGGCTGACTTGCAGCCACATTGGACAGAATCTTAGAGCCTGTCTGCTGAAAATTAGGGGACTGTGCAGGACTATCTTGAATTCCACTGTGACTGATGCCTATGACTTCTGGCACTGGGCATGAAAGCGTATCTTCAGCAGAGGAAGAAAATGGAGAGTCTATGCTTTGGGTATCCTTCTGACTCTCAGGATAGATGCTAGATATGCTATGCTCCTGATAGAGCAAGTTTCTTAATTTTTCATCCAGAGTTTTAATTCGGTTGTCTGCAAACTCCATTTTTGGAGGTCTTTCCCCATCTGATTCCAGGATAGTAGTGGGTAGAAGGGTAGTCAGTTCAAGGCCAGGGGTCTGAGTGGGAATGACCATCTTAGGAGAACTTGCTTCAGTGTTCATTGTGGTTTCTCCTTCTTGGGAAATAAACTCTGTATCCATAGTTGGCTGCTGCACTGCTAAGGATTGAGGCTTTTGATCAGATATAAATGCCAGAGTTGTAACAGAGTTACCAGCAATCTGAGTTGACTCGCCAGGAGGGACCATAGGTACATCAGCCTGACTGGCAGCTTGGTGACATGGATATACAGGCAGAAATATGCCTGCTCGGTTGGTGAGTCCCTCACATTCAACTGGAACTGCACGAACTGAAGTAGCAGTATAACTTGAACTACTAGTAACTCGTGCCATTATCTGCCTGTCATCTTCCACTCGATACAATATAGCTGGCTGCTTAGTTTCTACACTGGCATATTCAGAAATCTTACCATCAACTACATCCTTGAGTTCTGATTTGGAGGCAAAAAGTACACGCTGGCATGGATTACTTTCTAGAGTGGGCACTGTGTCCTGTGATATTTCCTTATTACTTGTGGTTCTTGGACCTAGAACAATAACAAAGAATAGCTAGGCACATATTAATAAATACAAAGCATGGACTAGTAACCAAATTCAAAGGGGACAAGAGGAGCAAGGGACAAACAAGAACCTGTGTGAATAAGTCTTGTAAATAAGACTCAAAATACACAGAATTCAACCTGTCAAGGAATAAAAACCTTTTACTTTTTCCCATAAATACTATATTTAAAAATATTACCTTTTAAAATGGCTTAAGTTATACCCTAACAATAACACCTTCAAAAATTATTATGAACATTCTCATAAGAATACAATATCCATGAACACAAATTAAAGATATGGTATATATCTTGTAACCCCTCCAAGTCTGGAGAAAGCTGGCAGACAATGAACACTTACCAGGAAGCAGAGACAGTCCAGGAACTGTAGATATAGACTGCTGAAGAGTAGGAGGCGATTGAGCCTCACGGTTTCTTATTGTTTGATTGATACAGAATCGCCACCGACCAACTGGGGATGACTGTGGAGCAGATTCATCTGTAAAAAGAATTAGCAAAAATCAATATGCTAAGCAATTGTCAACATGTTTACCCTATTAAGGAAACCAGGTTAAAACACCAATTTGTCTTGTATCTCCATTTCCAACAGCATTAGGATATGTGTAATTTATAAGACCAGACCTCCCAACGCAGGCAAATACTCTAAAGAACTAAGTACAAGATATTATTAGGGAAGGATTTTTTAAATATAGGAAAACAAACATTGTAGCAATAGCAATTAGAAGAGGGCACATTTTTGGGGAAAAATGGAAAGCATTTTCTCCAATAAAACCTCTATCTCCTGTTCTGCATCCTGATTATGAAGATGCTTACCCAATTCTATAGGTATTAAAACTTACAGAACTATACACCAAAAGAACAAAATCAATTTTACGGTATGACAACTTAAAAATAAAGTCCCTACATCTTTACTCCTACTTTGGAAATTCATTCAAATAAGTAATTCTTTTTGTAAACTTTACCATACTTTATCACTCAGAAATCTGTTCAAATTCCCCCTAGCAAGAAAGAACAGAGGAGGACCCTGGCATCCTAACACAAAGTAAATTTCAGGGTAATGGTATCTGGTTTCATGACTCCCACACCACCTGTTGCTTCTTCATGTTGTTATAATTCCTTCACAGGTCCTCATTTGTCTATGGCTCTTCGCCCCCTCCCAGATACTCTAAATATAACCATGACCAGAGCTGAAAAGAATGGAGAGATAAAGTCATCAGAAAAGAAAACAGAAGAACCCATTTTTAGTCCCTGGAAGTTTAGCTAGTAACTGATTTACAAAAACTTATCAGTGATCACAGCAGGTAGAAGTATAACACTAGTGGAAGGAAATCAAAATATAAATGACTATATTAAAACACGAGGCAAACTTAGAACATAGTGATATTAGTTAAGAAAGGTACTGTCCACATCATATCAGTGGTTTAAAAAACCAACTTACCAATTAACTTCAAACAGTAAAGCCATTAAAGGTCATCAGAACTGTGACTGCTTTTCTGATAACATACCATGCAATGACTCAGAAATCAATTAATTGGATAAAGAACCAACACTTGAAGAAAATCTGGAGAATGACTTTACTTCTTACATCTGGGCTGAAAAGGCCTTTCCAAGTGTGGGTAAACCTACATTAACAATTTATGAATTTCCTTTATGGGCTAGTATCTTTCTCAATGAAGATACATAAATTAAAGTTTCCAAATGTCTTGCTTCAAAAGCCACATGGTAAATTTTATGAAATATACTTACTGCTGGTTTGAGTGGATGCAGAATTTATCTGTACTTGTTCAGATGATCCTGTCTGAATTAAAAATGAACAAATAAATAAAGAAGTTCCTGATATATATCTGAGAAGACCTATTTGCTAAACAACTGCTCTTACTTGGCTATTGTTGGATTCCACAATAATAGAGTCAATTCCGATGGCTCTATCTGCAGCAGAGTGGACATGAAGGATCTCCTGGGCTTGACCTACAATAGCCCTCAATTCTTCTACAAATTTTTCTTTCTCACTTTCTAGCACAAAGTTATCTTCAACCTGTCCAAAAGTAAAAGTAAGTCTGTTAAATTTAGTTTCTTCAAGATTGTAATATTATATCAATGGTGACTATCTTAAAGAAAAATAAATGAAAATTGAGTATTAGATACAAAGGCCACAAGAGAATTAAAAACAACCAGCACTGGGGCACCTGGGTGGCTTAGTCAGCTGAGTGTCCAACACTTGGGTTTCAGCTTAGGTCATAATCTCAGGATCGTGAGATTGAGCCCAGCATCAGGCTCCACACTCAACAGGGAGTCTGCTTGAGATGCTCTCCCTCTGCCCCTCCCTCCGCTGGCGCTCTTGTGCTCTCTAAAATAAATAAATAAATCTTAAAAAAAAATGACCACACTAAAATGCCACGTAAAACATTAACTTATTCTTATTTTGGGACCATTGATGCTTGTCAGATTGGTACCACCTACCAGAGAAAAAGCCAGCATTTAAAAAAACATCTCACATTCTATAAATTACCATTTGAGGAACATAACTGAGGAAATGTTTATGATTACCACTAGGATGTCCAAACCCAAAAGTTTTTTAAATCACAAAATGAACATCTCTAAAGGTTATAAAGAATGGCCTGGAGAGTTCAGAAAACATGTTAAACAAGAGGCAGAACTAGACTGGAGTCGGGGGTGGAAGGAATGGGGTGGCTGAGTGATGGACATTGGGGAGGGTATGGGTTACGGTGAGTGCTGTGAATTCTGTAAGACTGATGAATCACAGACCTGTACCCCTAAAGCAAATAATACATTATATGTTAATTTTTTTAAAATTACTAAAGAATTTTAGTTTTATTTCCTGTGTAACAATTATTAGATCAATGAACTATTTACTGAAAACAAAACAAAAACAAGAGGCAGAACTAACAACATTATTAACTTTAAAAATGCTTAATTCTTTTTTTTTTCAGGAATGCACATTAAAGAAAACTGGCAGAAACGATCTGAGGGTTTTGGAGGGGAGGAGGGTGGGCGGTTGGGTGAGCCTAGTGGCGGGTATTATGGAGGGCACGTACTGCATGCAGCCCTAGGTGTGGTGCATAAACAATGAATTCCGGAATACTGAAAAGAAATTAAAAAAAATAAAGGCTATAAAAAAAAGCATGAAGTACTCTTCCTTCTACCCTTATTTATCTGCATTTCAAAAAGGGCAAAACAACTAACTTAAGCCTAACAATTCAAAGAAAATATGAAAACTAAAAGAAATGATGAGTATTATTTAAACACCTATTTGTAAGATGACATATCAGTACCTAACACAATAGAATTACCTGGGGTATTTTACAAACTAGTGATGCTTAGGCCTTACATCCAAAGATTCTGATTTAATTAGGGACCTAGGCAATGGATTTGTTTGTAAAAAGCTCTTAAGATGACTTTAACATGCAGCCCAGGATAAGAATCATTGACCTCTTAATAAAAACCCCTCATATTTTAGAGATAAATATACTGAAATGAAAGAAGTTACAGTGACTTACTTTTTGTTATAAGTAGTATAGTTCTGTGCAAATCTTAAAAACTAATGGTACCCTAAACAGACTGCTCTGAATAAGTGAGGGGAGAGTATGAGTGAAAAAAGATACAGAATGCTAAAGGTTAAATAACTTGGTTTCACTGTACTTACCATATAGTCTGCAATATCCTCTGGTGCATCACCATCAACATCAAATTTGAAGGTGACCATCTTGTTGTTGTGTGTCTCCAGTTGACACTCCACCATATTGTCTCCAGATATTGATACCTGGATACAAACATTTCACCAATTTAAGAGTCACACAGTTATTTATTATCTTCTCTTTGCAATCAACCAAGGAACTAGATGAGTGTGTGTTCAATATATGGAAAAATAGTTTAAACTGTTGAGAATATAAAAAGATTGTTTTTTCCTATTGAAATAGTGCCTTAGCACCCATCCTATGACAAATACAAGAGTTAAACTAGCAAAATATAAATCAGAAATGTGATCCAACAGAAAAGAAAAAGGAATACAACTTCTATAAAAAGACTAAAAAGAAAGACAAAAAAGTCAGAAGATGTCTATTTTTTCCAAAATGCAAAGATCATTCAGTCATTCATTCCAAAATTCTCTTAATCCTACAAATTGGCTCTTTAAGCAAAAGAAAACGTACTGCTCTTGGAAATGTATACTGGTCCAGACTTTTTGGACAGTCCATCTAGCAATATGTATTTCAAATTTTTTTAAGTTTTCATATATTTTCATTAGTTTTATTAATTTATCTTAAATTGAAGTATGATTAACATACACAGTTATATTGAATTCAGGTGTCCAACATACTGATTTAACAATTCCATACATTTCTCAGTGCTCACCATGGTAAATGTACTTACCACCTGTCATCAAACAATGTTATTACAATGTCACTAACTATATTCCCTTTGTTGTACATTCCCCACAACAAAACAACTTCCCCTCTACCAACCACTTTTATTCTCTGTATTAATGAGTTTGGGGGTTTTTTTGTTTGTTTTTTGTCACTTTTTCACCCATTAATTCTACTTCTAGGAATGAAGCATTAAGAAGAATCAGGGATGTTTATAAAGATCCATGTTCAAGAGTGTCTGTTACAGAGAAACACACAGAGACAGACAGACAAAAGGAGAGAGAGGGGCGCCTGGGTGGCTCAGTGGGTTAAGCCTTTGCCTTCAGCTCAGGTCATGATCTCAGCATCCTGGGATAGAGCCCCGCCTAGGGCTCTGCTCAGTGGGGAGCCTGCTTCCTCCTCTCTCTCTGTGCCTGCCTCTCTGCCTACTTGTGATCTCTGTCTGCCAAATAAATAAATAAAATCTTTTTTAAAAAAAGGAGAGAGAAAGACAAAAAGTTAAAGAAGACACAGACTGGCAGACAGAGAGATTGAAAACAACCTAAATGACAACAGAAGGAATTTTTAAATTGTTATAGCTCTATATAAGGGACTATCTAAGACAGCAATTGGAAATATTATATTACTGAAAAATTACTGACATAGGAAAATGTACATGATATATTAAGCTTTTAAAAAAGGAGACTACGGGGGCGCCTGGGTGGCTCAGTGGGTTAAGCCTCTGCCTTCAGCTCAGGTCATGATCTAAGGGTTCTGGGATCGAGTCCCACATCAGGCTCTCTGCTCATAGGGAGCCTGCTTCCCCCTCTCTCTCTGCCTGCCTCTCTGCCTACTTGTGATCTCTCTCTGTCAAATAAATAAATAAAATCTTAAAAATAAATAAATAAAAAAAAAGGAGACTATGCCTTCTCAAACTACTACAAAAAGATAGAAGGGGAAGGAAAACTTCCAAATTCATTCTGACACCAGCATTAACTGGATACAAAACCAGATTAAGAAACTGCAAAAAAAAAAAAAAAGAAGTATAAACCAATATCCCTGATAAACATAGATGTAAAAAATACTCAACAAAATACTACCAAACTGAATCCAACAACACATTTTAAAAAAATCATTCACCACAATCAAGTAGAATTAATTCCTGGGATGCAAGGGTGGTTCAATATTCATGAATCAATCAATGTAATACACACACATCAACATGAGAAAGAATAAGCCATGTGATCATTTCAATAGATGCAGAAAAAGCACATGACAAAGCACAACATCCTTTCATGATGAAAACACTCAATAAAATAGGTTTATAGGGAACATCCCTCAACAAAATAAAGGTCGTATGTGAAAAATCCATAGATAACATCATGCTCAATGATGAAAAACTGAAACCTTTCCCCCGAAGGTCAGGAAAAATTCAAGGATGTCTACTCTCACTCCTTTTATTCAATACAGTACTAGAAGTCCTAGCCACAGCAATCAAATGACAAAAACAAATAAAAGGAATCCAAATCAGTAAGGAAGAAGTAAAACTTTCATTATTTGCAGACAACATGATACTATATATAGAAAACTTAAAGAAAAAGAAAACAAAACAAAACACTGAAAAAACTACTAGAACTGATAAATGAATTTACTATGGTCGTAGGATACAAAATCAATGTACAGATATCAGTTGAATTTCAGTACACTAATAATGAATCAGCAGAAATGAAAGAAAGAAAGAAAGAAAATCACATTAACAATTGTACCAAAAATAATAAAATACCTTGGAATAATCTTACCAAAGAGGCAAAAGACCTATACTCTGAAAACCATCAAATACTGATGAAAGATAAAGATGACACAAAGAAATGGGAAGATATTCCATGCTCATGGATTTAAAGAACAAATACTATTAAAACGATCATACCACCCAAGGCAATCTACACATTTAATGCAAACCTTATCAAAATAACAACATTTTTCACAGAACTAGAACAAAATACTCTAAAATTTGTATGTAACCACAAAAAAACTCTGATTAGCCCAAACAATTCTCAAAAAGCAAAGCAAAGCTAGAGGTATCGCAATTCCATAAGTTATTAACACAAAGCCATCATAATCAAAACAGTACAGTACTGGCACAAAAACAGACACTCAGATCAAAAGAACAGGATAGAAGGCCCAGAAATAAACACACAATTATATGGTCAATTAATCTTCAACAAAAGAGCCAAGAATATGCAACTGGAAAAGACAGTCTTTTTGAAAAATAGCATTGGTAAAACTGAAGAGTTACATGCAAAAGAATGAAACTGGACTACTTTCATATGCCATACACAAAATAAATTCAAAATGGATGAAAGAATTAAATGAGAGGCCTAAAACCATGAGAGTCCTAGATGGGAACACAGGCAGTAATTTCTGTGACACTAGCTGTACCAACATTATTCTAGATATGTCTTCCGAGGCAAGGAAAATAAAAACAGAAATGAACTATTGGGACTGTAACAAAATAAAAAGTTTCTTTACAGCAATGAAAACAATCAACAAAACTAAAAAACAACCTACTAAATTGGAGAAGATATTTACAACTGACATATCCAATAAAGGGTTATCATCCAAAATATATAAAGAAAATATACAACTCAATATAAGAAATAAACCAATTACAAAATGGGCAGAAGAGAGAGTAAGAGTTTGGCAAGACAGTGGAATAGGAGGACCTGGAGCTCACCTCATCCCATGTTTTCAATTAAGTATCATCCACATCCAAGTCAATAAACTGGACAGCAATCTGAAGACTGGCAAAACAAACTCCACAACTAAATATATGGAGGAAGCATCACCTCAAAGGTTAGGAAGGTCAGTGGTAAAGAAGGCTGCCTGCAGGAGGGACTAGCTATACAAAGATTGCTGAGAAACAGGTCCTCAAGGAAAACTAATCCTCATAATGTATAGCTTTAAGAACCAGAGGGGTTGAGTTTGTAAAACCAGTGGGGCTTAGAACCTTGAACTTTGAAGGTCAGCTGACTCAGCACTGGGCAATCCAGGAGGCCAAGTGATAGCTGGGGGTTGTTGCCCTTAAAGAGATAGCGACCTGTGGGGAGGCAACATAAAAATGGAAGTCACAGGGGCGCCTGGGTGGCTCAGTGGGTTAAAGCCTCTGCCTTCGGCTCAGGTCATGATCTCAGGGTCCTGGGATCGAGCCCCGCATCGGGCTCTCTGCTCAGCCAGGAGCCTGCTTCCCCCACTCTCTCTGCCTGCCTCTCTGCCTACTTGTTATCTCTGTCTGTCAAATACATAAATAAAATCTTTTTTAAAAAATGGAAGTCACAAAAAGCTGGAGGAACACAGGAGACAGATATGTTTATATTGATTTTGGACTGACGTGGAGGACTCTTCCTAAAATCAGGGAGTCCGATGCAGATCTGGACATAGGACTCAACCTCACAACCTTGAGATTATGACCAGAGCTGAAACCAAGCATCCAGGTGCCCATAAAGTCACTACTTTCAAGAGCAGAAGACACAGGTGGCTTTCTTAACACAAAACAACAGACACAGAGTGCCAGAAAAAATGAGATAAACACTTATACCAGATAAAAGAACTGGACAAGCCACAGCCAGAGACATAAGTAACATGCCTGATAAAGAAAGCAAAAAATGATAAGGAAATTCACTGGACTTGAGAAGAGTAGAAGACATGAGTGAGACCCTTAACACAGAGATAAGGAAAGACATAACAGTTAAAGGGCACAACAAAAATGAGAAACATACTTAATGAAATGAAAAGCAAGACAGAAGAAGCAGAGAAATGAATTAGTGACCTGGAAGAAAGAGTAGTAGAAAGGAATAAAGATGAACAAAGAGAGACAAAAGAACTATGCAACGAAAGAATAGACTTAGGAAACTCAGTGAATCCATCAAATGTAATAACATTCAAACAACAGGAGTCTCAAAAGAAGAAGAGAGAGAAAGGGGAGAGCAAAACATTTATTTCAAGAAATAATTGTTAAAAACATCCCCATCTGGAGGAAGGAAGCAAAAATCCAGATCCAGGAGGCACAGAGAACCCCAAAAGAGTAAACAAAAGCAGACTGATACCAAGACATATTGTAATTAAATTTGCAAAATGAGTAACAAAGAAAAAAAAAATCTCAAAAGCACTAAGACAAAATAAATCCTTAATTTACAAAGGTAAAGCCATAAGGCTAGCAGGAGATTTTTCAACAGAAACTTTGCAAGCCAAAAGGGAGTGGCATGATCTATTCAAAGTGCTGAATGGAAGAATCTGAAGCCAAGAATACTCTATACAGCAAAGCTATCATTCTGTATAAAATAAGAGATACGAGTTTCACAAACAAAAACTAAAGCAGTTCATGATCACTAAACCAGCCCTGCAGAAATATTAATAAGAACTCTGAGCAGAAAAGAGAAAGCAAAAGTGACAGCATATGGGGTGCCTGGGTGGATCAGTCAGTTGAGCATCCCACCCTTGATTTCGGCTTAGGTCATAATCTCAGGGTTGTGAAATAGAGCCCTTAGGGAGTCTGCTAGCGATTCTCTCTCCCTCTCCTTCTGCCCCTCCCCCTAGTCAAGTGTGCTCGCTCGCTCTCTCCAAAGTAAATAAATAAATAAATAATTTTGAAAGATGAATAAATAAGTCTTTAAAAGTAAAAAAGAGGAAAAGTGACAGTACAGGTGCAGAAAACAGAGAAGTAGTAAAAATGAGTATTTCTGTAAAAAAAAAAATCAGTTAAGGAGCTCACCAAAAAAAAGTATAACATGAACTAACCTATACCTAAAACATGGGGAGAAGAGGAGTAAAGAATCGGTTCAAACTTAAATGACCATCAACCTAACAGAGACTGCAATATGCAGTAAATGCTAAATCAAATTTATCATATACCCAATATCACATATCAAAACCACTAATATTCAAAGATAAAGAAATCTAAATATAAAACTGAAAAATCAGCAATACATGAAAGAGAAAAACACAAGAAAGGGAGGGAGAAAATCTTCAGAAATAACCATAACAAGTAATAAAATGCAGTAAGTACATATCTAATAGATATGTAATTGATAATTACTTTCAGTGTAATAACTGGAATAAATACTCCAGTGAAAAGACATAGGGTAACAGAATGTATAAGAATACAATGCCCATCTATATGCTGCCTACAAAAGATCAATTCTATACTTAAAGACTTATGAAGATTCAAAGTGACAGGGTGGATAAACATCTATCATGCAAATGGATGTCAAAAGAAAGCCAGAATAGCAGTACTTACAACAAACTAGACACTTAAACCAAAAATATAAGAAGACATTAAAAAAGACATAACAATAAAGGTGACAATCCAACAAGAACTGTGACAACTGCAAATATTTATGAACCTAACATGGGACCAGTGAAATATGTAAAACAGTAATAACAAACATAAAGGAACTTATCGATAATAATCAATAATAGCAGGGGACTTAAACACCCTACTTATATCAATGGACATATCATCCAAACAGAAAATGAACAAGGAAACACTGGCTTTGCATGACACACTGGAACAGATGGATTTAACACATACATTCAGAACATTCCACCCTAAAACAGGAGAATACACAGTCTTTTCAAGTGCACACTGAACCTACAGAATAGATCACATATTAGCTCTCAAAACAAGTCCCAATAAATTCAAGAAGATTGAAGTCTACCATGCATCTTTTCTGACCACAATGCTATGAAACCAGAAGTCAGCCACAAGAAAAAAAACCTAGAAAGACCACAAATATATGCAGGTTAAATAACATGCAACTAGTCAATGAATGGCTCAACCAGGAAACAAAAGAAGAAATAAAAAAGAAACAAATGAAATGGAAACAAATGAAAATGAGAACACAATGGTCCAAAACCTCTGGGATGCAACAAAAGCTGTTTTTTAAAAATATTTTATTTATTCATTAGAGAGAGAGAGAGAGAGAGCATGATTAAGAGAGAGAGAGCACTAGCACAAGGAGGGAGGTGCAGAGGCAGAGGGAGAAGTAGACACCCCGCTGAGCAGGGAGCCTGATGCAGGACTTGATCCCAGGATCCTGGGATCATGACCTGAGCTGAAGGCAGATACTTAACTGACTGAGCCACCCAGGCACCCAGCAAAAGCTGTTCTAACATGGAAGTTTGTAACAACAATCTAGGAGTACCTCAAAAAGCAAGAAAACTCTCAAATAATCAACCTGACCTTGCATCTAAAGGAGCTAAAAAAAACCCAACAAACGAAACCTTAAACCAGCAGAAGGAAAGATAAAGATTAGAGCAGAAATAAATGATACAGAAACTGGAAAAGAAAACAAAACAAAACAAATAGAAAAGACCAGTGAAAGGAAGGGTTAGCTCTATGAAAAAAATGAATAAAACTGATAAACTTCTACCGACACTTATCAAGAAAAAAAGGGCTCAAATAAATAAAATTACAAATGAGCAAAGAGAAATAACAACCAACACCACACATAGAAACAATCATAAGAGAATATTATGAAAAATTATATGCTAGAAATTAGGAAACCTAGAAGAAATAGATAAATTCCTACAAACATATAAACTACCAAAACTGAAACAGAAGGGAATAGAAAATTTGAACAGATAACCAACAAAGAACTTGAGTCAGTAATCAAAAACTCCCAACAAAAAAAGTCCAGGTCCAGATGCCTTCACAAGCAAATTCTACCAAACATTTAAAGAAGAGTTAATACCTATTCTTCTCACACTATTAGAAAAAATAGAGAACGGAAAACTTGCCAATTTACTCTATGACAGCAGCATTACTCTGACACAAAACCAGATAAAGACACCACTAGAAAAGAGAACTCCAAGCCAATATCCCTGATGAACGTACACACAAAAATCAATGTTTAAAAGGAAAAGGAGGGGTGCCTGGATGGCTCAGTCAGTTAAGCATCAGGCTCTTGATTTCAACTCAGGTCATGAGCTCAGGGTTGTGAGATTGAGCCTCACATAGGGCTCCAAGCTCAGCAGGCAATTTGCTTCTCTTCCTCTCTCTCGCCCTTTCCCTGTGCCCTTCCCTCCACTAACATGCATGCTCTCTCTTTCTCTCTAAAAAATGAACAAATAAATCTTTACAAAATAAAAGGAAAAGGAAAAGCAAAGCTGGAGGCAACAGAACTCTAGACATCAGGTTATACGACTAAGCTGTATTAATCAAAACACTATGATGCTGGCATAAAAATAAACAGATAAATCAATGAACAATAATAGAAAATCTAGAAGTAAACCCACAACTTTAGGATCAATTAATCTTCAACAAAGCAGGAAACAATATCCAATGGTAAAAGGACAGTCTCTTCAACAAATGGCTTTGGAAAAACTAGAGAGCAACATGCAAAAGAATAAAATTTCACCACTTTCTTACACCATGTACAAAAATAAATTCAAAATGGATTAAATATCTAAATGTAAGACCTAAAACTCCAAAAATCCTAGAAGAGAATACAAACAGTAACTTCCTGGTATCAGCACTAGCAACTTCTTTCTAGTTATATCTCCTGAAGAAAGGGACATGAAAGCAAAAATGATCTACTGGGACTACATCAAAATAAAATCTTCTAAACAGCAAAGGAAACAATTAAGAACTAAAGGCAACCTAGGGAATGGGAGAAGATATTTGCAAATTACATATCTGATAAAGGGCTAGCATATAAAATGTACAAAGAATTTGTAAAACTCAACACAACAAAAACAAATAATCCAATTACAAAGTTGCCAGAAGACACAAACAGACATTTCTCCAAAGAAGACATTCAGATGGCCAACAGACACATGAAAAGATGCTCGTTATCACAGACCTGAAAATCAAAACTACAATGAGCTATCACCTCATGCTTGTTGGATAAGCTAAAATCAACAACACAAGAAAAAAATAGTTATTGACAAGGATGTGGCAAAAAAGGAACCCTCATGCATTATTGCCTGGAATCCAAACTGGTATAGCCGCTATGGAAAACACTATGGGAGTTCCTCAAAAGTGCAAAATAGAACTACCCCCTCCAGCAATCATACTACTGGCTATTTACATAAAAATATATAAACACTAATTCCAAGGGATATATATACTCCTATGTTAATAGCAGCACTCAATAAGCAAGATATGGAAGCAACTCAAGTGCCCATCAACTGAAGAATGGATAAAGAAGATGTGGGGTGTGTGTATATATATAGATAGATAGATACACACAGAATGGAATATCATTCAGCCATAAAAAAGAATGAAATCTTGTCATTTGTAGCAAAATGGATGGCACTCGATAGTGTAATGCTAAGTTCAATAAGTCAGTGAAACAAGGACAAATAATATAACATTTTACTCATATGCGGTATTTAAGAACAAATGAAAAATTGAAAAAAAAAAAAGAAAAAGGGAGAGAGACAACCAAGAAATAGATAACCAGCAAAGAACTTGAGTCAGTAATCAAAAAACCTCCCCTAGGGGGTATATGGGGGATGGGTGAGATAGATGATATGGATTAGATTACCTTTATCACGATGAGCACTAAGTAATGTACACAACAGTTAAGTAACTATATTGTACACCTAAAACTAATATAACACTGTATGTTAACTCTATTGGAATTAAAATTAAAAACTTAATACAACTAATATACATGTGTATATGTGTGTGTGTACGTGTGTGTGTGTGTGTTCAGCAAAAGAAGAATATGAAATTATATATATATATATATGTTTAAGCATCCATCCAAAATGTTTATCACATTGGTTAGAATACCAGCTTTAAAGTCTGAAATGGATTCAGGTCCAACAATCACTTGCTAATTCAATGACCACAGGCAAATTACTTTACCTCTCAAATCTTCAGCATCTTCATTTGTAAAGAAGAGTATACTAACATCTATCATACAGGCATACTGAAGGATTAAATGATAAAACAAATGCATAACATTTGGGGTTTCTACCACAAAAGAATACAATAAATATGCTACTATTACTAGTACTATTACAACCTTAATAATGTAAAATTCTACACATACATACAGGAAAGAAAGATGAAAACTAAAACATTAATAGGAACTATCTCTGAGAGGTGGTAAAAAGTGATTTTTATTTTCTTCCTAATATTTGGCCGATATTTCCTAGTACAGAATATTGTAATCAGAAAAAATTTTAATGAAAGAGATGTTAGCATTCTGCAATGCCCTATACTTATGTCTGAAGCAACATGGTCCCAACCTGTCAACACAGACCTCTACACACACACTTAACCAAGTAATATTTACACACTGACCTGAAGGACAGTAAGTTGGAACTTAGTCCCCTTTTCTGGTCGAGGACAGGAAGCTCTTCTTTGTTTGATCCGATCTTGTTTGCCATTTCCACATGGGTTATCAGGGGTATTGATGTTTTCTTTCACAGCTGCCACATCAGGGTTCAAACTAGTTATAAAAAAAAAAACAAAAGCAAGTCATATTCAATTTCTCAGAGAAAACATTATTCTATGATTCTCAAAGCCCAGTATTTAACCCAAATTAGAATTAACATTTGAAATTCTATGATATCTAGAATAATTCCATTCTGACAGTAAAATTCTAGAAAAATTCCAATTATAAAATAATACATAATCAGTTTAAGGAAATAAATAAGAAACATAATGTCTGAGAATATACAAAAAGCACATTGTACACTTTAAACTGGTTAATTTAATGGTATGTGAATTATATCTCAATGAAGATGTTATTCAAAGTTACAAAAAACTGAAATAATATGTATTTATTTGGCAATCACCTGACAGTAGTGGGAATAAAAGAAAAACAAGGGCATTGACCAATCTTTGTGGAACCTTTTATCAGAGGATGCTCTTGGTCAATTTTATCTTGTTTGTTTTGGGTATATTATTAATGTGTTCAAATAAATCTTCTAAAAAACAATTTTCACTCAAAATATACCTGTTTATGTACTGAACTCAAAAGGACATAGACAAACAGGGTATAAGAAAGAACAAAAAATGAAAATGAGATTTTAAAAAATGTGGTAAAGGTTCATTGGAAGATGGTGGCGGAATAGGAGGACCCTATGCTCGCCTGTCCCATGAATACAACCAAATAACTATCAAATCATCAAAAATACACCCGCAATTGACCTGAAGACTGGAAGAACAACCACACAACTAAAGATACAGAAGCAGCCACACTGAAGAAGATAGAAAGTGGTATAAGGTGGTATCTCAATGTGGTTTTAATTTGAATCTCCCTGATGGCTAGTGACGATGAACATTTTTTCATGTGTCCGATAGCCATTTGTATGTCTTCATTGGAGAAGTGTCTGTTCATATCTTCTGCCCATTTTTTGATATGATTATCTGTTTTGTGTGTGTTGAGTTTGAGGAGTTCTTTATAGATCCTGGATATCAGCCTTTTGTCTGTACTGTCATTTGCAAATATCTTCTCCCATTCCCTGGGTTGCCTCTTTGTTTTCCTATTTCCTTTGCTGTGCAGAAGCTTTTGATCTTGATGAAATTAGCAAAACAGGAAACAACATGTGTTGGAGAGGATGTGGAGAAAGGGGAACCCTCTTACACTGTTGGTGGGAATGCAAGTTGGTGCAGCCACTTTGGAAAACAGTGTGGAGATTCCTCAAGAAATTAAAAATAGAGCTTCCCTATGATCCTGCCATTGCACTACTGGGTATTTACCCCAAAGATACAGATGTAGTGAAAAGAAGGGCCATCTGTACCCCAATGTTTATAGCAGCAATGGCCACGGTTGCCAAACTGTGGAAAGAACCAAGATGCCCTTCAACGGATGAATGGATAAGGAAGATGTGGTCCATATACACTATGGAGTATTATGCCTCTATCAGAAAAGATGAATACCCAACTTTTGTAGCAACATGGACGGGACTGGAAGAGATAATGCTGAGTGAAATAAGTCAAGCAGAGAGAGTCAATTATCATATGGTTTCACTTATTTGTGGAGCATAACAAATAACATGGAGGACATGGGGAGATGGAGAGGAGAAGCGGGGAGCTGAGGGAAATTGGAAGAGGAGGTGAACCATGAGAGACTATGGACTCTGAAAAACAACCTAAGGGTTTTGAAGGGGCTGGGGGTCGGAGGTTGGGGGAACCAGGTGGTGGGTATTGGGGAAGGCACGGATTGCATGGAGCACTGGGTGTGGTGCAAAAACAATGAATACTGTTACGCTGAAAAGAAATTAAAAAAAAAAACTTAAAAAAAAAGAAGATAGAAAGTGTGGAGACACGTTTGGGGAGAGAATCAGAGAGTGGTCACTGGGATGGGAAGGAAACAGCAGCCACAGAAAAGGGATACCAGACTAATACACAGGGGAGTGGATGGGAACAAATCCCCATAGCAATTGGCTTGGAAAACAGGAGGGGCCAAATTTTATGACTTTCAGCAACCAGCAAGGCATAAGCCTAGAGTTTTAAAGGTCACTGGGCTTGGCTGGGATACAGCCCAGAGGGCATTGTGCTACACTTGCAGAGCAGGCAGGCAAATAACCTGTGAGTATACAGTGTGGCAACAGTGATCTGAAGAGCATCTGGAATACACGGTGGGGAGGTTATTTGTTCATTTCAGACCACATCCCAGAGAGGCATCATTCATGGAGAGAAACCTCCAGGAAGAAAAGAACTAGGTGGTGCCATTTCCTTCCCCTGAACCACAGAGCCATGACAAGAACCAGCACAATGCTGACAACCCCAACCTTACATGCTTATACCAAGCCCTGCCTCTCCTACATTCTAGTGGAATTCCCATTCCCAGTCTCCATTGCCACAATCCCACCTTGATGACTCCCTCCCCAGAAGATGGGCCCAAAACCCTGTTCACACAATGGTTCCTGACTTGGGAGTTTTGCAGAGCACCAGTTATAGTGTTGGTGTAGGTCTCACTTCACAAACAGACCAGAGCACACCTAGCTAAAACGTGCCACATTCAGGCAAGGGATCAAATACTGCCCACAACACACAAATAGAGCCTTGGCAAACAACTGGCCTGAGGGATAAAGTGACTAGGTCAAAAGAAGAGCATAAACAGCACACACTGGAGACACTCCTGTAAGCACAAGGCCCTAGGGAACAAGGGATACTACTGGGCAAGGCATTACCGGATTTCTTCATCATTACCCTCAAGAATAGAAGATGTGGTTGACTTTCCTAAAGCGTAGAAACAGGCACAGTAATGTAGGTAAAATGAGAAGACAGAGAAATTATCCAGAATGAAAGAAGAGGACAAGGCCACAGCCAGAAATCTAAGCAAAACAGAAATACTTAACATGCCTGATAGAGAATTTAAAGTAACGATCACAAACATACTCACTGGACTTGAAAAAAGAATGGAGGACATCAGTGAGGCCCTTAACATAGAGATAAGGAATAACATAGCTGAAATAAAGGGCTCAATAAATGAAATGAGAAGCACATTTGATGGAATGAAGAAAAGGATGGAAGAATTAGAGGAGCAAATTAGTGATCTAAAGCCAGAATAATGGAAAATCATCAAGTTGAACAAGAGAGAAAAAAGAATAATGAGAAATGAAAAGAGACATAGGGAACACAGTGACTCCACCAAATGTAGTAACATTCATATTATAGGAGTCCTAGAATAAGAGAGAGAAAACAGGGTAGAAAATTTATTGGAAGAAATAATAGCTGAAAACTTCCCTAATCTGGAGAAGGTAACAGATATCCAGATCCAGGAGGCATGTGACCCCCAATAAAATCAACAAAAGGATATCCATACCAAGATATATTGTAATTAAACTGGCAAAAAAAATAGTGATGAAGAAAAAAATTTAAGGGGCATCTGGGGGGCTCAAGTCAGTTAAGCATGTGCCTTCAGCTCAAGCCATGATCCCAGGGTCCTGGGATGGAACCCCACATCAGGTGCCTGCTTCCCCATCTCCCTCTGCAGCCCCCCTGCTTCTGCTCTCTTTCCCTCCCTCTATCAAATGAATAAATAAAATCTTTTTTAAAAATTTTAAAAGCAGCAAGGCAAAAGAAGATAGTAACATAAAAGAGAAACATAAAAGGATAGCAGATTTTTTAGCAGAAGCTTTGCAAGCCAGAGGGGAGTGGCATGATAAGTTCAAAGTAATGAATGAGGAAAATCTGCAGCCAAGAATACTCTATACAGCAAGGCTACCATTCAGAATAGAAGGAGAAATAAAAACTAAAGGAGTTCATGATGACTAAACCAGCTATGTAAAAAGTATTAAAGGGGACTCTGTGAGTAGAAAGGAGAGACCAAAAGTGAAAGTAGAAAGCTAGGAAACTAAAGAAGTAAAAAATAATATTTCTGCAAAAATTCAGTCAAGACATTAAAAAATTAATGGAAAACATGTAAAATATGTAAATTTGTGAAATATGACAAAATGTTACTAAAATATGCTGAGGAGAAGAGTAAAGAATGGGTCCAAACTTAAACGACCATCAAATTAATATAGACTGCTACTTGCAGAAGTCATCACATACAGACCTAACGGTAACCATATATCAAAAACCACTAATAAATACATAAAGAACACAGAGAAAAAAATCTAAATATATCAATAATGAAAATCAAATGATGAAAGAGATAAAAACAATAAAGGATCAGCAAAAATCTTCAGAAACAACCACAAAACAAAGAATAAAATGACAATACATTTTTAATAATTACTATGAAGGTAAATGGACTAAATGCTCCAATCAAAAGTCACCGGGAGACAGAATGGATTAAAAAAATAAGACCTACCTATATGCAGCCTACAAGAGACTCATTTTAGACCTAAAGACACCAACAGATTGAAAATGAGGGAGAAACATCTATAATGAAAATGGCTATCAACAGAAAGATGGAGGAGCAATACTGGTATCAGAGAAAACAGACTTTAAAACAAAGACTAACAAGAGAAAAAGGAAGACAACATATAATCATGAAGGGGATAGCCAATCAGAAAATACAATAATTGTAAATATCTAGGCACCCAACATATGAGCAAAAAGAGACAAAGAGTTAATAACAAATATAAATAATCAATAATCATACAATAGTTGGGTACTTTAACACCCCACTTACATCAATGGGCTGATCAACTAAACAGAAACTGGGTCTCCCAGGAGGCTCAGGCAATTAAGCATCTGCCTTTAGCTCAGGTCATGATTTCACAATCCTGGCATAGAGCCCTGAGGAGGGCTCCTTGCTCAGTAGGGAGTCTGCTTCTCCCTCTCGCTCTGCCCCTCCCCAATGCTCATGCATTTTCTCTCTTGCTCTCAATCTCTCAAATAAATAAATAAAATCTTTTTTTAAAAAATCAGCAAGGAAACAATGGCTTTGAATGACACACTGGAACAGATGGATTTAACACATACATTCAGAACATTCCACCCTAACACAGCAGAATACATATTCTTTTCAAGTGCACACTGAACAAC